TTGCCACTCGAAGAAAACCTCGAGTTATTAGCTCTTCGGGAGTGGAATGTCTCACACATTGCCCGACAATACAAACTCATGGATCTGATGGAGTTCTTCCTCTGCAGCGGCACTCAAGTACTGACAGTTTTATCGATCAATTGGTTGTACCATTAATTTGTGTGCATTTGTGTCCCTTTTGATGGCCAGGTGTTTAGTGCGGGTGATCTGTGCACGCGTTGCGGTGCTATCGTCGGTCTTCCGCATAACTTCTCCTACAATACCATCGATGACGTGAAGGTGAATGAGATCTCCATTTTGGGCGTCAATGCGGCGGAACTACAGGCGGATGAAGAGTCGGCTCAAGACTTTCAACAACTCATTGAATCGCTTGTGTTGAGCGAAAACGCCAAGAAGTTTGCCATCACTCGAGAGCTGCACATGACGTCCAACGACCGGGTGTTGAACGGCATCTTCATTTCAGTCGTCTCTCTATTCTTTGGCGTCGGAATTGGACAACAGATTATACTCTCGAGGAATATAAGGCGCAGATATTTGCTGAGTGTTTGCATTCGGTTGGTGTCGGCGGCCATCGGTTTGACACTGTTTTTGGTGATCCGGGAAATGCTTTACTACGGATGGGACAAAGCGGCCGACGAGGCGGCCATCAAACAGGGATACGCCTACTTCGAGGGCGCCGTCGAGTACTACCAGAAGTTGATCCAAAGACAGGAAGCGTTGGATAATTTAATGGCCAAAAATAAGCTCAAAGGCGAGTCATTAAAGGATACGCTCTTGACTTTGTTTGACGTGAAGGGAGTGTCTAATAGTAAACGTCTGGAAAGAGTTCTCGAATTGGATCCGACGGACAGCGAAGAAACGCCGACTTAATATCACTTTTAATTATGATTAATATTTAAATTTAAAATAATTTATGTAAAATTTTTAATAAAATTAGGCTTAGATTTATAAATTAAAAAATTAAAATACGGACTAAAAGTTTTAGTTGAAATTACAACAAATCATGACTTATTTATTGCCAATACATGTATGTTTTGGTATGATTTGATTTGCATTTCTTGTCAATAGTAACAGGAATTTTCGGAAACCATACAAATAGCGAGTATTTTATTTTAATAACGATTTTAATACAATTGTCCACTCCTTTAGCTACTGATTTGTTCACTAATTTAAGACTAAAGATACTATACATTAGTTTATTAACAATAATTCAATCAGAATGACTCAAAAAGTGTTTAAATTCATTCAATTTATAGTTTAAATTAACCAAATTTATTATAATTATAAATGAATTAAAATATAATAGTATTTTTACAAACAGTTAAATCAATCAACAAAATCATAATAAATAAATAATAAGTTAATTATAAAAACAAAACATAAATTAATCACATAATGAAGACATTCATCAAAATATAGACTGGAATTAAGAGGATTAGAGCGAAGATGAGTATTGAAACGAGTGGTTCGCCGACCGGAATGGCGACCACATCTAAGACCACACTTTCCTCATGAGAGCCATGGTTTGGTTGTTGACCTGCGGACCGAACAGTGGATTCAATTGCGCCAAATACGTGGTCAACCACATGGCGTAACAGCAAACGGTTCCCACCATAAGCATCAGCTTAATCAGTGGCCGTTGGGGCGACTCCGGCAGGAATATGGGCGCCACTCCTCCTATTCCTCCAAATATCAACGTAAACAACACAAACACTGCGAAACCCATCACCACTTCTTCGTCTCACTGTCTTTGGTGCTGTCGTTGGATCAGATTTGATGTCCGGATTCAATGAGATCTGTAATCATATATGAGTTTTGATTTATGGTATATGTATTGATAGTAATGTGTTTTACTCACCGTTTTATTGCATATCAAATGTGTGTTTGAATTGCAATTAAGCCCTGATTTTGACGCCAATTGTGAGCAGTGTTTGTATTCACACAACAAATCGCAGCCAATATTATTGTGGCCTTAAATGAAGGGATCGTTTGCTAATCACATATCGATTATGTCATACACAGAGAGGCGTTGAATGTGAGAAACAGAAACCGGTTAACTGCTAGTGAAATGCGCCCACAGTTAACACATTAACGAATAGTAATGAGTGTTATTTAACAATACGTTAACATAACATGAGTTATGACGAGAGCACCCATTCATGAGGTGTTGTTTACTTCACACACCAAATCAAATGTGCATCACTTTAACGGATCCGTTGGCCATCAGTTGATCACCTCGTTTTGGACGTCGACAACGAAGAAGTAGTAGTGGAAGCGATGGACGACTTTCAGGCGCATTACTCCTGTGTGATCACCGGAACAGGTCTGACACAAGCAATAGTGGCGGCGGCGATGGCCAGAGTCGGCAAATCGGTGTTTCATTGCGACCAAAACCACTTCTACTCACAGGAGTGGCAGTCAATGAATTTCACGCAAATTGTCAATTGGTGTCACTCATCGTCAGCGCCCGCACCGACCGACACGTCCTCTCTTCCCGATCTCCATCTGCTCCAAGACGTGGAAGTGTTTCGCAACTGCTTTCGCGGCAATTATGTGACAAATGTTTGTCAGATATCGTATTTGTGTGACGAAGAGTCGG